AATAAGAACCAAGATGCATTATGTAAAGGTACAATTCCCAATGAGAAATGTAATTGTGTTGTATACCTAAAATGTACCAATAAAAGAATTTAATAAAAAAAATAGCTGTTTTGTATAATAAGGATGAAAAGAGACTGAAGCAAATGTTTGGAAGGTCTGAATCAGGTGTTTTTATGGTTTGTTTCTATCTTACTAGTTTTAAAAACTTCCTTTCAATACAAATAAAGAGCAAAATAGAAGACAGAAAAATAGAAAGTAAAAGAAGTTCAAATAATTCCCCAAATTACCTATTCCCTTGTTTCAAAAATATTTTAATGTATATGCCAGTTCATTTAACTTATATTACTAGTTTCTCTTAGTTCATTGAAAAGAAATTTTTTTATTATTTATCTGTTTTTTTCTTCTTGGTAAGAGTTACGCTTTTTTGTCTATGTCTTATACTCTGAGTAACTATTTTTAAGATTATGATACACAGGGTATTATCTATTTTTATTCTGTTATTGTTTTGCTTTATTTTTTCATTAAAAACTTCCTTTCTGGGCCTTTGAATTTCTCTCTGAAAAATGAAATCTGGGAATTATTTGCTGAATATTTTACTAAATATACTAAAATAAAATGAAAAGGACGTTATGATGAAGCAGAACCTTATGTAGGTCAGATTTCCCTAAGGGCTAAATTTGGCCTCTGCGCTGATGAGCAGAAGCTGCCACGTGCATTCAGGCTCTGTGCACAAGGACAAAGCTGTTCACACACAGCGGCTTTGCACGCATTCTGCCCACATTGTTCTGTGCACTTAAGCCACAGCCACATGTTATGGCAATGGCCATCTATGCTTGGGACATCTTAATCTGCATAGTGTCATGAGGTTGGCAAAATAGCCTTGGCTTTTGTGTGGTCAGATTCCATGTTAACCTTGATGGGAAGCCATGGACACATGCGTCCCTCCTGTCCACAATGCACATTCATGAACGTTAAAGGCCAACTTAGGCTAGTTCTCAAATTACAAAACTTACTTTTTCAATCTCTTCGCATCCTTATACCTGTTTTAGAATTTTTTTGAATCACTGCTTTCTAGTGAAATGTCAGAAATAAATATGGCAACTAAATAAAACTTCACCCCCATTTTCACATTTCTAGTCAATGAACTTTCTTCTTTCTATTTCTTGCTCTTAGCAGAAAGTGCCCTTGGAAGGCGGTATCACTCAAGAGTCTAATATAAATAATGAGGTAAACTTTGCTATGGGCACTCCTAGCTAAATTTACAGTCAGATATGGGGCACAATTTGGTCTCAGGGTAAACTGTGTCCTTGAAAAGCCAAAAGTAAGCAAATGTAACCAATAGGTCAATGCACTTTCAAACATGACTCTATGTTTTTCATAGCTAATACATAATTTCATGCTGATAATTAGTTGAATACATGACAAGATTCAAAGTTAAAATGATTTTCCAGACAGTAGTTTTTGTACAATTTTCCCAGATGGAGAGCTATACTCATAGTTCTGTATGTGTCCACTTTTTAAGGGTTTCTTACCATGTAACCTTGTATGCCTCACATAATTTACTCATAACAGGTATGCGTTGTTCCCATCTGGGAAACTGGGGGTTACAGAAGCTGTGTGACTTGGCTGAGACCATAAAGAGTGGAGGCTCAGTGTGTCCTTCAGAAGAGATCCAGCCCACTCTTAGGTACCCCCTACAGATTATGGGTAATTTCTGCATAGGTTTTCAAACGAGGATATAATCATAAGCTAGACAAATGCAGGACCTGAATGGTGATCAACATTAGAAGCCTTCCATAGCTAACGAAGAGACCAGAGGGTTTCAGCTGTTCTCCCAGCACCCTCCATGTTCAGGCCCAAAGCCAGTGGCTGTGACACTGAGCATCCTGCTGTGCCTCACCTGCCTGTGCTCCTGCACGATTGGGGTTGTTTTCTGTGGTCCTCTTCAGTGACACCCAGTGCTCTCGAGTCTGTCCTTTGTCAAGGCCTACCTGGTTTATGGCTTACCTGCTTCCGATGGCAAACTGGTGAGTCAGCCCTGCAGTATGACTTCCAAGTATACCAGGTGGTACCCCTATCAAGTGGGTAGCTTCGGTCTCCCAACTAAATGTCAACACAGAAGCACTGCCTGCTCTTTGATTTTAGAGAATTTAAATATTATTGCTGTTTCCACTGTTCTGGAGCTTTTCTTCAGGTGACTATAAAAATGTAGAAATATCATCATTTTCCTGAAACTCTTTGAGTCTCTCAAGGGTGTCTGTCTTAAGAGAGGGCTAGTGATAAAATCTGAACTCTTACAGGATGACTAACTTGCAAATAAAATACAGGCTCCAATATCCATATGATTGTGCCTTCCTTCTTCTGGCTTCTAATGATCCCCTATACACAGGTTTGTGCTACAGTAAACCCTCACACTCACTCAGGCACATGGAGAGTGCCCCTAACTGCAGGAAGTTGGCGTGGTCCTCCCCTGCCGTGATGCTTATGTTTTCCTTTATTCCTCCTGAGCAAACTGCTGGCCCTCTACACTTTTGCATCCAGAGACTAATGTGAATGATGAGGGCATAAAAGGACAAGGTCCTTTTGAGGATCCAGACTTCACCTTTAAAGTTCCCTTGATAGCATCAGGGGAGAGGTGTGTGGTACACACTGAGAGCAACATGAGACCAGTTCATCACTTAGTGACTGGTTTTGTGTCCTATGTCAACAACCATGAGTCAGTTATGTGATTCCTAAGACACAAGCTTTATTCATATGCACTGGGTATCTTGTCTACTGACTTCTTTGGTTTAAACTAATGCCAATGCAAAGTGGTAGAACATCTTTTCCAGGAAGGAGAATTCTCACCTTATCCTGAGATTGAACCATGTCTTCAGTGTGGGATAGCCACTTGGCATTCCCATGCCCTCCAGCCACAAAGTGGTTTACTTCAATTCCACTGCATAACTATTCAGCACCATTGACATTTATTTTAAAAGGGCCCCAGAAAGCCAAACCTCAACAATTGCACTAGCACAATTTAATAAAGACCATTACATTTAAAACATTTACATGTATAGTTGCAAATCTACTTATTTTAAGCATAACTTTATGTATAATATTTTGACAGACAAAAATATATGTTTTAGAACCATTATATGCATCTGTCTGTTCAGTAGCAAACTTACAATAAGTTATACTTTATAGCAAACATAATAAATTATACATTATACTAAATTTTCTTGAAGGCTAAAAAAGGAAAAATTCATTATGTTTAAAATATAATGCTAATTCATTATTTCAAATAAAAAAGTGAATAGCTATTATACTAAATTCACTTATTTCAGGCTTACATTCATTTGATATTCACATAAAATTTACTACTTATATAAGTGTAGCAATGAAGCGGGCTTTTGACACTATTTGGAGGCTTGTTTTTGGCTTCTCAGTCCAGCTACAAGCTCAATGTTCTGAATGTGTAGGGAAAAAAATAAAATTACTCAAGAACATGTTACAATGATTGTAAAAGTATGAAAATAGAATAGCTGTTTTATTCTATGTTTTAGCCACAGGTCTCACCTCCAAAGGTTAAGATAACCAGTGTCTAAAATGTGTTGGTCATTTTATTTTCACTGAGGATGAATTTTGAAAATCAAGTCCACTGTGTGAAGCTGGATGAATTTAGTGCTGTCCACTCACCCACGAGGTCAAACTGAGCCTGTCTACACCCCACAACTTTGCTTCTTCCCTGGGAATTGGAGGGGAATTTCTGCAGAAATGGGTATAAGTAAATGAAGATCTTGAGACTGTTGTTTTATTCTTTCCATTTTTAGACTTAAAATATAACCTTGTTTATATTTTGATACATCTAGTTTGAGAATAGATGGGAAATAATGGGCTTACTTTATTTGTTTAAATTATTTCTCTAGTTTTAATATACTGGGCAGGACTGGGTTGTTTCTCAGAGCCTGTCTGAAAATATTGGAGCTCCCTATTCACAGGTCCCAAAAATGTGCCCTGGAAAGTACTGAGTTGATTTTGAGGAAAGTGTTGAATAAAGGAATTCTCTTTTCATTTAGGTAGATAAGATTTCAGTAAAGATTTTGCATGCAGTGCCACATTCACTATGAGGTTTTGATAAAGTACTGAAAATATTATGACATCTAAAATTATTTAATTTCTCATTTAAAAAACTACCTTGGAAGTTTAATTCCTATTTTGTGGAAAAAGGAGATATATTATTTAGTGAATTGCGATAATTCCAATTAAAATCTATAAAATGAAATTCTAACAGTCAGGAATACAACTTTTATACTTATTTCTGATCACTGAGTTAACACCTTTTTGGTTGTAAATTGGAAAAGAGAAACATTTTTGGGAAAAATACTTTAGTTTCTGCAGTGCAGACTGGCTTCAGCCCTGGGAGCCCATCCCCGGTCGGCTTCTCAGCTCATCAGTTTACTCCAGTGTTTTCAACCTGGTTCCAGGTTGTTCTTTCTAATAGTGGGTTGAGTGTCTAATAGTGAACTTTCTGTATGATACAAACTGTTTCCTATGTATATTGCATATATACATGTGTGTGTGTGTGTGTGCATTTTAACCCCCAAAAAGGAGCAACATAATATTTAATGACTGGCTTCATGAAAGCTATGTACATACTATATGTTAAAATTGATGGCTTCTTCCCATTAAGAGTTATTTTTGCTCTCTGTTTTCTGCCACATTTTGAAATTCACTGCATGCTGTTTTGTGGTAGTGATTTTTGCAGTCTCTAAAACTGGCTTATGTGAAAAAATGTCACAGGGTAGACCCCTCAAGACTAAATAATCTCATCAATGAATATCCAAAAATGAATGGGGTTTGTGTCTCTGGGTTTACTATGAGGAGGTGCTTTGGGAAATGCTGGTAATACATATTCAATGAAATTCATGTTAGTTTATCAGTTTCTCTTTCATCAAGCATAACTGGTGCATGTAGCTAGCTCTTTTTATATATGGCTCAATTTTACTTCCAATACTAATTTAGATAGTATGCCAAGACACTACTTTTTGTAGCATGTGGAAAAACTTTATACCCTTCAACTAAAGATAAAAGTCTACTCTTTCTATCACTTTTTGCTTGATGTCCTTCTTGATTTATTGCTGTCAAGTCATCTAATTATCTTCTGGAACTCCAGGTACTTTTACCTATGTATTAGAGATACATCCAAAGGAGCCTGGTGTTCTCTCAAATCACAGAATGGACTCTATTTTCCTAACACTTTGTACATAAATAATGCCAGTCTTCATTAATTTTTGTGTTTTTTTGGTACCAGGAATCGAACTAGAGACCTTGTGCTTGCGAGGCAGGAGGCGAAACTACTGAGCTAAATCCCTGGCCCCCAGTCTTCATTAATTTTTATGTGTTTGATTTGCCTGTGCTGAGAATAATTTATGCTGTTATTAATAGAGTAACAGATTACAAGGCTGGGAGGTAGCATAATGGTAGAGTGCTTGCATAGCATGTGCAAGATCTTGGGTTTGATTCCACGTCCAACAACAGAACAAAACAAAAAAACAAAACAAAACAGTGGATTGCATATTCAGTAAATGTTATAGCTCAGATCATGAAAGAAGGGGTCAATCATCTCTGGAAGAAAAATCAGTGGTTCACTCATCACATCATTTACTGGAGTGGCACAGCCTCCATGTATGCAGTCAAATTGAGTTGCCAGTGATGTAGCCAACAATATGCATAAAGCCTGGCCAATTTCTTCTCTCTTAGCCTCATTCTTGTGTATTTCCTTTTTTCAAGACAAGGATAAATTTTGTTTGGCGATGTGTTTTTTGATTGAGGATTTATTCACTTTTATACTTAACAAAACTATCTAGCATCAAAATTGAAGCTATTGCAGATGAGAAATAAAGTTGTTGCTTCACAGCTGTTGCTCCTAGCTTGACATGTATTTTTCCTGAACTCTTCCTTTAGGACTTATTTTTTACTTTCTGCAGGATTTTGTCTTCTTGAACTTTATTTATATTTTAATATGTGTTTTATATTTTAATATGTGTTTTATAGTTTGCAAACCATCATTCCAGGACTGCCCTCCTACAGTGCTCTGTTTGGGAAAGCAATGGTAGGTGGGTCTTTATAAGTTGTCCTCAGTCCCTGATCCTTCTGGGCTGGAATCCACTTCAAGGAGTGCCTCTCTATTGGTGAACGTTGAGCTCAGAGTTAGGCTCTGTCGAGGTTTCACAGGTGCAAGTTCATCTAATTTAATATTTTCATTTCTGACCAGAATTGTCTTATCCATGTTTTCTTCACTGTGCCTTGCAACAACAGCATCAAACACATCCAATTTTGGTGGCAAGGTTCCACTTTCAAATAGATACTTGGCTAGATAGGAGACACAGGTGTTGACTAGGAATGAGGTCACCATGGCAAGGGTCTTAAATGGGAACCTCTGGTTGTAGATACCGTTGTCCATGTAGTACCCAGGGTAGTAGATCAGAGGTTGCAGGTACAGATAGGGCTCCCCTCCTGTTATTCTCAGGAAGATCCCTGCCACATACCCTGCCACTGCCCCATATGTGTTGGTCCCCTTGATGAAGAGCACACACAGGAGCTGTGGGAAGATGATGATGTAGACCAAGTCAGAGCTGAGGTACCAGAGCCCATATACAGTCTTGGTCAGCAAGGCCATGGCTGTGGCAGATGCTCCAAACACAAACACTGTGATTCGCATGACCCAGACAATTTCTTTGTCTGATGCCTAAGAAAGAAATTGAGAGGGTCAGATTTGCATCTAATGCATTAGCTCATTTAGGCAAAGAACGGGACATATCTCCATGGTTAAAAATTGTTCTTAAAAAGACTTTGTGCAAAATGGCTCACTGTATTGGCAAAGGCAACCTAACTTACAACCCCAAGGAATGAGATGGTGGCCTCCTGTGTCATTTGGGCAGGCATCTGTGCACTCCATGTATGGAGCCAGCCCTCTGAACCCTTCATTGTGTGCACAGGGGATGGTAAGATGAGCTGACTTGGAACCTCTGGGGATAAGACAAAGGAGGGTTTCACTTATACCTACTAAGCAGCAGCTCTTATGTTGTACCTAGAGAGCCAGGGCCATCCTTATTTCCTCTCTTTGCAGGTATGCCACCATCTTTAAGTCTAGCCAGGCCTTCCAGGATGTTTCCTTAGTAAAACCACTGAGGCTATTTCACTGTTGACCTAGGAAACCTGGAGGCAAGCTACAATCTGGGAAGCAAGGCCTTCAAGGGAGGGGGTGGTTCTCGCCATCTCAGGGATCATCGCAGCATGTGGTCTCACATAACTGATGGTTCAGTAAGGACAGTAAAATTCAGGGTACATTTTATGGTGAGGCTGCATCAGGAGAGCTAATGAGGAGCAATCCAAATGTCGCACACCAGGCAACAGGTCCCCAGGCTCCTGCCGTATTTAATATCATGCTAAGTTATTTTAGGCTGCACTACTCTTTTATCAAAAGGATATGAAGTTTAAATTATAGCAACATGACTGAATCTCTTGGGAAACAGTAACTTGATTTGTTCCCTTAGTATTAACATGAATGATAACATGTATTGATAATATCCATTTATAACATAAACACATTCACTGTTACTTAAACTTGTATGCTTAATCAAAGCAGGGTCAGATTTTAACATTATCTATTTATCTATCTATCCATTCATTTTGAGCATCCCTTATCCAAAATGCATGGGACAGCTGGGGATTTAGCTCAGTGGTTCTGCTGCCTGCCTTGCAAGCACAAGGTCCTGAGTTTGATCCCTGGCACCAAAAAACAAACAAACAAACAAAAAAGTCAATAACAAAATGCATGGAACCAAAAGTGTTTTCGATTTCAGGATTTTTGAATTTGGAAATATTCACACTTACATACTGAGGTATCTTTAGGATGGGACTGAAGTCTAAAAAAAAAAGTAATTGATGTTTTGTATATACCTTATACACATAGCCTGAAAGTAATTTTACATAATATTTTAATAACTTTATACACAAAGCAAAGTTTTATGGTGTAGAATCTCCCATGTCAGTACTCAAAACATTTCAGGCTTTGGAACATTTCAAGTTTCACATTTTCAGATAAGGGAGGCTCAACCTGCAACACTATCTACACAACCCATGAGATGACAGCAAGGAACCTTAGCAACAACAAACTGAGTTACAACACCATGCTCACATTTTGTCTGAAGGATAGCTGGTAGATGTTCCTTGCAAACATTGAACTTGCCGACAGGATGGATGAGTCGGCTGAGGACATGACAGCAGCGGACACTGCACCCAGGCCAAAGAAGGAGATGTACACAGGGCAGAGGTACTGCAACACAATCGGGAGGATCATGTCTGCCTCGCCCTTGTCCTTGGGATCCAGAGGCCCAAAGGAGGTCTGGTTCCAGTCTGTTGAGCAGAAACAGTGAGCAAAACACACACCTGGGGCCATGTGCTCTTTGCTGCTGACTCACACTATTCACAGGTAGTTTGGAAACAAATTCAGAGTCACGTGTGTTGTGTGTGCAGGTGGGACATCTTTTATTGTTCAGGGGGAAATGTCTCATGTGTTCTGGCTTCTGAAGGCCACAGTAGTCTTATAGCCCTTGTCTGGCTTGTGCTGGCCAGACATATTTATTCTTTTTGCCACAGTAGCAAATGTTCTTACATAGAATCACAGTTTTCTTTCCACCACTTGGAGGTGAAAGGATACCTGTGCACCCAGAGAGGGCCATCCTATCTGGGTGCAACTGAGAACCCAATGGCCTTTCTTGTCTACCCTCTCCCTTCATGTACTTTTGGTTTTGGAGCTCCCTGAGCTCTATTTTCCTCTAATTAAATTTTGCATAGAATTTCACTGCCCAGAAATTGGAAGCATGCTAGATTAAGGGCAGTTCCTTTTTATTGAATAAAAACTACATTTCTCGGGTTTTGAGGTTGAGGTTTTTAAGGGGATTTTTGAACTTGGCATGGTGAGATGACTTGAAATGTAAGTTTATCTTTGAATTTATACCTTGTTTACTGTTTAGTTACAGCATGAGTTGAATATAGGGAACCTGCACATGTACATCAATATAATTCCATTTCCTTTTTCTTTTTTGTTTTTTAGACACAGTCTCACTAAATTTCCCAGGCTGGGCTTGAATGTGCAATCCTCCTGCATCAGGCCCCAGAGTAGCTGGGATCACAGGCATAGAGCACCACACCCAGCTTCATTTCTTTTTTATTTGTTGAACTTCCTTAATGTCATAATGATGAACAAAGTAGTTTCTTTTGACTCTACCATTTTTTCTCCCCCCATTTTCCTTTATAATTGGTATTAGAGTTGTGCTTAGATGATACTAGCTCTAAAGCCTTAAGTGAGATGTTCTGATACCAGAAAATAACATTCAAGAACATGTACCCTGTCTAAGAGAAAATGGGCCTGGAGCTATTTCTGCCAGCCTATTGTCCTGACACACATAAGCTTACACACACCCCTCCACACTGAGGTCTAGATCCATCCTCTGTGAAATAAATCCAGTCTTTTTCCAAAATCATCAGACACTGCACATCACTGCTGTTGGCTGTCTGCTTACCACTGATTGTTTGTTTTTTGTTTATGTCCCAGGTGGACAACTGGAAAGGAGAAGGGTGTGATGACCCAAGGCTGCGCTTTTCTGCATGAAATAACCCAATAACTAGCTCTACCAGTTGAAAGTCAAAGTGACTGTGTACAGATCACCCTGGACTATCTTTAGAAAATACAACAGGGTGAAACATGAACCTTTTCTAAGCTGCTTTAATATCTTCTACGTAGAGAATGCCTTTGAACTTGGGTTAATGTGATATCTTTTCCTTTAATGCATTAGATGATCAGAAACGTCCCAAGTATGGCTCTGAGGTACAGACAATGCCCTACATGACCAAGCCTTTAGCATATTGTGGGTCTCTAGCATTGTGTTCAGTATATAATGGTCTGAAGTTTATTATCCAAAGTTCAAATCCCTGGGGTGATGATATTGCATATCATATGGGGGGCATTGGGAGGGGACAAGGTCACAGAGGTGGAGCCCTTCAGAGTGTGATTGGTGCTCCTATCATAGAGCTGGCTTCTTCTTCCACTATGAGAGGAGTGGAAGGGTCGGGAGTCAGGGAGTCCAATCCCATCAAAGGCAAGCTTTTAGATGTGTTCCACATGGAGTCTACCAGGGAAATAACATCTATTGCCCTTTTAAAGAATCATTTTGTTTCTTAATTGTCTTAATCTGTGTACATACTGATTTCTCCAAGAAAAAATGCTTAACTAACAAACCATGAAAAAAACAAACAATGGAAACTATAAAGCTAGACTCAATCTCAGAGGGGCCCTTGAGTAATTGTGATGAAGACAGCCTAAGTCCTTAGCACTTTGCCTCCCTCAGGGCTTTAGAAAACACTGGGGTCCATCTCTGTCTTTGATGGTGAAGTATGCTTACTGTGGAATAGCCAGAAGCAGGGGTTTCTCAGACCCCCTCCCAGCCCTGTGATGCTTCTGGGCCCTGGTTGAGAGCTGTGGGGGAGAGAAGTCCTCTTGGCACCCTCTGAGATACAAAGCCAGGGAGGGAAATTATCATGCAGGGAGCACCTGAAAAGTATGGACCACAGGATGACAGTGTGCACCCTGTGCTGGACACTGCAGCAAAAGCACATAGGAAAGTGGGGTGAGGAGCTGGGGAGGGTCTGGAGGCTCCCTGGTTGAGTGAGGCTGCAGGACTTACTTGTGGAGGCTCCAATGGCCCCAATGAGCACTGCTGGGAGAGCCATCACCAGGCACCCAAAGGCTGCCAGGAAGGACAGCACTTGCGCATAGGTGGCTGAGGACGAGGACAGCACCCTCTGGAAGTAGGCCTGCCACGGGATTCCGCCCAGCATCTGCACCAGAGCCCAGGGGAGAGGATGGGGCAGTTAATGTCCATTGTGCTTGTGTGTTAAAGACTTTCTAACAACTGCCTTTTGAGAAGTCCTAGGTCAGACTATGTAGTGTAAGAAGATGCTCTGTAGCCTGTGTATCTCAACTGTTGTCACTGTGCTTATTGTGATCCGAACCCCTTACCCCATACTTACGCTGATCCCCAGCTGATGAGATCCCACTGGTGGGGCTGTCACCAATGCAGTTGGTGCTCGAGGGACTCTGTTCCCCTCCCATCTCGTGAGGACACAGGGATAAGTCCCTTTGGGAGGAACTGGCCATGGCCAGACACTGATCAGCCAGTTCCTGGGTCTTCAACTCCACAGCCTCCAGGACTGTGAAAGATACTTGTCTGTTATTTACACACCATGGCCAGTTATGGTAACTTGTCATAGCAGCCCAAACAGACCAAGACAATGTTATTGCCAGGCTTTTCATGGCACAGAATTTCCCCAGATTGTTCTTTTTTGTAATGGCATAGGACAATCCTTTCTTTTCTTTATTTTGCCTGCTTTAAGCTGCTTTCAAACTACCCTGAAGTCTTCCAATTTGTTCTCATCCAGAAGTTTCAATCATCATAAAATATTTTCAACATAATTAAGATTCTGAAAGCACTAAGTGAAAGCTGAGTCAGTCCAGCCCAGTACACAGCCCATTGCCAGGCAAGAATTGTGAAGGACAAGGTGGGGGGCTGGTTCCCCTGAACTCGCTCTGCCCTCATCCAAGGTAGGGAGCAGAATGCTCAGAGAATATAGTGCAGCACCAGCGGGAAAGCCCAAGCTCCCGCCTATATTTGTTCTATGTAGCATCTAAATGTCATCTTTAAAAATTAAGTGACATATTACATGCATGAAAGCCAGTGATAAATGCATACTGTAGGTGGGTGGAATGTTTCTTGTTGAGGAAATACAACTGAAGACTGTCTGAGACACTGAACTACAGTGGGATTGTCTGCATGCCATAAGAGGTCTGTATGGATATGGAACAAGCAAAGATGGTTTAGGGTAAAGCAGGGGTGGTGAGGAAGGGCTGAGGCATAGTAAGCAGGAAAACCTACAGAAGTAACTCTGAATCAGTCCTCGTGCACCCAGCAGAAGGTAGAGAGTGGGGAGAGGAGGTCTCAGGAGGGCAGCTAGTGTAGAAAAGGAAACTCCAGCCCCACAGGCAACTGTAAGACAGTGCACAGTGTGGCCGACTGGAGGTGATAGTGTGTACCTCAGAAGCTGGAAAATCCCTGATGCCTGGGCTTTGGCCCCTCCTCCCCCTGCAGACCCAGTGTTGCTCTTTACACAAATGACCTGGCCAATGAGCTCACTGTGTCACAATGTACTGAGGCTTCCTCAACTGCCTGGCTCTCCCGCTGGGCTGGGGTCTGAGCCCTGGGATGCCCAACCTATTTGTTACCCTTTCACACCTGTGCTGAGCACAGTGGTTGACACACAGTGATTTCCAAACAATTTTCCTTCTTAAAAGAACCATACAGGCTCAGAAGTAAAATAAAAGAGAGAAAGGAAGATATTCTAGAATGCAGTTATTCTTCTCAGGTCTGCATTCTCCCAAGAACTTTTTCTTTCTTTTTGCAACCTATAAGCCAATTATTATTAACTCATATTATTAACTCTTCCAATGTCAAAGACAGACAGGAGTTGGTACACCCTGGTGACACACTGACTACCCGCGTGGTTGGGTCATCAGAGGCTTCTTCTTTTTTGTGTTTTTAAGTAAAGTAAACTCTGACCTCTGTTTACAAACAGACCTGATGTCTGTGCCCCCCCCCCAGAACTCACATGCTTGGACCCTAATCTCAGTGGGGAGTCTCCAGAGGACTGCAGCCTGTTGGGAGGGACAAGGTCCTCAGGAATGGGATCAGTGTCCTTTTGAGAAGAGGCCATGGACCTCCCTCCTCTCTTTGCCCACAGGAGAAAATAAAGAAAAGAAAAGTCAGAGGCAGCCAGCACACCCGGAAGAGCCATCACCAGAACCTGCCCTATGGTCCCGGCTCATACTTCCTGTGGGAAGACAACTCTACTCCCAGAACTTGCTGCAGCCCTAATGCCTGGGACAGATAGCAATGTGGGAAATGAGCTTGGAGGAGACAGTGTTGAAGTCCAGAAAGGCTTCATAAACCCAGTCATGAAGTCCTGCCAGCCCTTCAAAGAGAAAAATTTAAAAAGCCCATTTCCCCATCATTTTGACAAAAACAGTAGCCTATTCCTTGTGATTAAATAAATACAGAGTATTGTTTTCATGTACAACCTCTCTAGTTAGTAGAATCTTGAGATCTGGAAAGTTCTTTTGGATTTTCCCTCTTCCTGAACTGTGATCCCTGCAGGCTTCTCTTGGGCCACTGTCCTGAGCCTCTCCCTCCCTTCCCAATATTTCTCATGTGCTTAGGGCCTGTGGAACCACTAACTCACTCCACAGTATGAGGATGAATGAGTTACCTATTTCAAAATAAACTGGCTATTAATGCCTTAATCCAGAACCCAGACTAAAACTTTCAGGTGGCCTGGCCCTCAGGTGGGGGCGTCTCAGAAATGCCTTTGATGTTTGGAGCACTCAGACCCTGTTCCCCAGGCCGGGGCACCACTTACCAGCAGCAGGAAGTTGTCCAACCAAGTGTAGATCTCGAAGGGTTCAATGGTTCCCAGCCAGGGATCCTGGAACTTGGTGTGCACTGCCGTGAACCCGATGTCGGCCACCGCAGGATGAGACAGGGCAAAGGGGACGCTGATCCACTGGACAAGAGCAACACAGGAGCCTTTATGTGACTTCTGAACACTCAGGATGTGGAGACTGACACACCTAGTGTGCCGCACTCACACATGGCACAGCTCATCGCTCCTCTTAGACAGAGAAGGACTTGAGGTCATGTTCTGTGTGACACCATGACACACTGATTTAGAGAATCTGAAACAACACATGCTGCCAACCCAGGAAAAGATCCAAAATTGAAATTCAAAACACAGTTTCTACTGAATGTGTTTCACTTTTGCATCATTGTAAAGTCAAAAAATCCTAAATTGAACCACTGAAAGTAGGGGGCCATCTGTGTGCTCTGTGCATGTGTGCACCCCTGTCTGTTGGGGACAAGGTTGGGTGGTACAGGGGACAGGTTAAAGAAAGGCAGAGATTAAGATAACCATGTGGAGGGACCCCTGTTGCAAGCTTAAATATTTTATCTTGTTTTGAAAGCAACAGGAAGAGGATTTCTTCTGAGTGTTAAAAAAGATTTCAGTGATATTCTCTCTGGATTTAGGTATTATAGCTGTAAACAGTGGGTAAGGGGGGCTCCTGGATATCTCAGGGCCAACTGAATGGAGTCTGAAGTGCCCCAGCATCACCAGAGATGGCAACATGTGGGGACTGATGAGGAGGATGAAGTCAGCAGCCCTCGGTCCTAGGGGGAGGCAGGCCAGAGAGGAAGCGAACAGAGGGGACCTCACACAGCCTTGAGGCCTCATTGGTAATGATAAAATCCACTGTTAGACGATTTGAGATGAGCTGGTTTAAGGGATAAGTTAATCAACTATGTCTGCATGTACAGCAACTAAAGTTTAGAAAGGAAAACATTTAGTTTTACCAATGTAAGTGTCTTAACTAAGTAACCCATAGAACTTCATTCCTTATGAAGTCAGATTTCGAAGCAGAAAGGTGCTTTGGGTACGTCCCTTCAAGTGTGCACCCCACACACTTGATTTATGTGCCTGTGTGTTTCAGCCTCTGGTCTCATGCAGAGTAAGGAGGCATCACATACATCACCCACTAATGGATGCGGCCCCCGGGGCACATTTCTTGGAATAACAAGTGCATCCCTTACCAGAGCTGCACTACCAAGCTAACCTCGCCCTGACATTCTGGAGATTTATTCCTGTGTTCTCTGCTTTATCTTTGGAAGTTTAGGATGACGTAATATGAATATCAGAATTTCTGCACTGTCCAGTTGATTTTGACAATTTCAAAAGAAAAAAGTGAGAGTCTTTGAGTAAATTAATATGAGTAAATGACACTCCATAAAATGTAAATAAAATATCTAGAAGAAAAGAAATGTAATATTTGCTAATGTTAATTTATAGTTAAACTATAAATCTAATAGCAGTCCTTTAAAATTTTTCTCCAGGATATCATGTTAGAAAGTTAATAAAGAGTCTGAGATTATTCTTCATTTTTCATCTCTAAGTATCTAGTGCAAAAGCTAAAGTAGAGTGGAAAGCTTTTTATTATAGAAAGTAAAGAAGAACAAGGAAAATCAAGGGTACTTGGACCATTTTTGGGAACATGAGTCAGTATCTGCTTGCTCTGTCTGTGACCTCTGCGCAAGGGTTTTGCTCCCACAGGAAACAAAGCTGAGATGATTATGAGTTAGATGAGATCATTAACATAAACCCATATGTTGGATGACCTGGGACTCAAGACAGACAAGGGTGGATGAGATCATGAATGTGGATCCATGATGGTCACGTGTTGGAGGAGATCAGGAATATGGACCCAGCATGGGCCCTAGCAGAGTGGACACACCATCTCTTTTACACTTCTGATATGTTTTAGGTATTAGATACTATTATTCACAGAATTATAAGCTCCATGTTTTAAGACATGAGTCTACAAAGAATCAACATTGACTAGAATGTGCTTAAGACACACAAAAGAACTTTTAACATAATACTAGTAATACTCATGTTTCATAATTCTACAGTACTCTTTACTTGATTCAACACACAAATATTACTTAACTTAATCTAGGGCTTGAAAGCAAAGTAGGAGATAATAAACACTTACAATTTCTTACATAATAAGTCCTTTGTTTCTGGATCCCAGAGAGAGAAGATTATTATTTGAAATCTACTGTTTTTCCAATGGGATAATTTCTGAGCTCCATGAATAGTCTCATAGATAATGTTAACATGGGGTAGGGTAAGTTACATTAAAATCTAAATTTTGCTAACAGAAGAAAGGTGTGTTACAGTCAGTTCTCAAAGAGGATCACACAAGTTTTCATCCAATCTAGGGACAAAGGAAAGGAAGACTTAAACCCTTCCAAGAATTAGACTTGGGGCACACTTTTCCATCAAAAACTTAACAAAATGATTAGAGTTTTTGATTAATTAAATCATACAGAAGTGATTTAAACTTTAAAAGACTATGCAACTTACTATGTATTACACATGATGGAAAGTAAGATTTCTACCAATTTTTGTTACTATAAAATATTGCATTATCCTTTTATTAAACAGAAAAAGAGAGAAAACCTGCAGGTGGCTCCACTTACCAGTCCTAGGAATATGCAGAAGAGCTGAACGACATCCGTGTAGGCCACAGAGTAGAGGCCACCCACCAGTGTGTACAGGATGGCAATGAGTGCAGACACGATGACGGACACGTGCATGTTCACGTCGATGATCACACTGATGGTGGCCCCTGAAAGCCAGCAGAGGGTGGAGTCACAGCGGAGCAGCGGGTGGGCTTCCCCACACCACAAGAAAGGCACTTGGGACAACAGCTAATTTGGACTCACGCAGAAAACTTCATCTTAGTAAGTTGGGAATCTCTCTAGTTCATGATGTCAGATCTGGAGAGATATATAGTCTCGCTTTCTGAGGTTAGTGTTTTCCTGACTTGTTTATGTGAGATCTTGAAATCAGTGGTAAGGATAAAGAATACCTGAAACACTGATTCTAAGAACTCATAATAACTTCATCAGGTATCTGAAATGCTGACTTAATTGTAATAAACGCAATACATTTACTCACATCTATAAGGAAAAGCAGCCTTTCTGAGACGCATGAGTGACCATTTCCACATTGTACAATGAATATTTGTTTGCTGTTTTTCAATTAAGTCCCTGACTTATGAATGAGTTCCATTCTGGGAGAATTGTTCATAAGTCAGATTCATTTGTAAGCCTACAAAGTGAGTCTTATACAGTACACCTGTGAAAGTTCTCAACTCAAATGTTTATAAATTGGGGACTTACACTAAAGTTATGAAAAAAATCCCTTAACTTGAGCTCTGAGAAGTCTAAGTACACATTTGTATAAGATGCTATCCATGCGTGCTAGACAGACTATTTACAATTCTCCTGCAGAGACAGCTCTATTTGCTCTTGGAGCAAACGGTGAGCAGATGAACACCACAGCATCCACTGGTGGCTGGGTGGTATTCAAAGATAGCATGATCCTCCTGCCTCAGCCTCTCACAGTGCAGGGATTACAGGCCTGGGTCACCACTGGGATGTAGCTCAGTGCCAAGACCCTGGATTTAACCCCTAGTATTGCAAAACAAACACTAGCATCATAATATCACTGGATTTCATGAGCCAAGGGGAAGGTAAGATGATGAGACATGCGAGGGTGAAGATGTGCAAACCATGAGAAGGTCTGCAGGCCTGTTTGCCACCCAGGACACTCACTCCACACTAAGTGAGCACTGGGCCTGCTCATGTATCCTGCAGTTATTACTTTCAAAAAATGTCTATTTCAATCCTCATAAAGGTTCTCCTATGTTTCAGAATCGTGCACACTGTGGTGAGGTGATAATAATCTGATACTCATCCATTCTTAAGTAACCCACCTATTTCCTATAAACTGAATTTGAATCATGTCCAGAAAATATAAAAGATAATTAAAAATACAAATGCTTTATCAGAGCCTAGACTTCAGACACATAATGTTTTTCTAGATATATGCGCATGCCTGTGAGTATGGAAAGAAAAGAGGAAGGGAAGGAGGGAAGGAGAGGGAGAGAGAGGGAGATTTCCCCACGTTTTATGTGTATTGAAAAACACATGCACAAACGCATATATACAAATTAACTAATTGAAGCAAAGTTTTAGCTACTATGATTCATATTTATGAAATACTTTAGAAACATTGGCTCTTCAGGCTGTTACATAAGGTGATCTTTATTGAGTCAGAGTGAACAGTTTGTATTCTCTTAGATATTTGGCCCACTCCTTTTCTGGTACCTCAGCAGGTAGTTTGTTCTTAGCACCTAAAATTTCTGGTGCTGAAACCAATGAAAAATAAACCCCTATTACTTCCCAGCTAAAGAGAGTGAGGTGGGAAGGGGTATTCACAGTTTTATTGCTATACAAGGGCAATAGTGCTACTATCTAGCACCAGGGAAAGATGGCATTACACTGTTTTATAACTATCAAATTCTCTTCCACCTAAATCACTTCTTTGTTTTTACACCAGAGATCAAGAAAATGATGTTAGGTTATATAGGAGACTGGAAGAAAGACAGTACGAGCTACAGTACTATCTAATATTCAAAGACCACCTAAGATGATAGCTGGAATCCAGAAGACAAGACTGTAGTCTGGAATATACAACACGGAAGGAAGGATGTTTCTCCAATTACTCAAGGCTGCTGCATTTCTGCTTGCAAGAAGAGATGGAAAATAACCTAAAGATGAATGGCGGGATGTCAGGGCCTGCCTTAGCTCATGGAGGAGAACACGGGACCTCAGCCCTCACTAGGACGGTACCGAACTGCCCTTGTTGGAACAGAAGGGCACTGAACCCAGAGAGCTCCTAGGACCACTGCTTTTGTAAATGCTGTGAGCGAGCTGAAAACCCAAGGGCTGAAGGCAGAGTCTTCTTAGCATTTTTGATCTTGGCTCTCAATTACAACCTAAAGTCTAGGTTCAGTTTCAAGAGCCCTCAAATGTGCTCAGGACCCAACCTTCAAGGATGAAATGGGAACACATTGAGGGAGAAAAAAGAGCAACATTCTTTTTTGTTTTTTGGAAAACAGAACCCAAAACAATTCAGTCATTAATTCTTTGTGTAGGATTATAAGTGCTAACAAGACACAAGTCCTGCCTTCAAGATATTTGTCATCCATGGTGTAGGATTAGAACTTGGACGTGAAGTTGATAAACAGGCCCGTGTACAAAATGATAGATACATCCAGTGAGAACAGAAGGTTTTTCCTGGGCACCCACAGGAAACACTCCTGGCCAGTTCCCAGGGATGCACCTGGGGGACTCCAGGACAAGCGCCAGACAGACGTGAGGGAGGAAGGAGGGTAGAGGAGTCCAAGAGGAGCAGGGAGGCAGGAGATGGCTACAGCTTTGGGGGGAGGAAGAGGGTGGTGGGCATTGAGAGGAGAGAAGCAAGGCTCAGCTCACTATGGACCCTGTTAGAGAGTGTGCTTTTCAGCAGGAAGGGACAGAGGAGAGGCAGATTTAGAAAGAAGAGCATGGTTTGTGGGTGGAGCCTACAGAGCATGCAGAAGGGCTCTAATCCAGGGAAGTGGCATGGCCTGGGGCAGGTGCAGGAAAATGAATTGGGGTCAGGGTGGAGAAGCCAGAGCAGCTGAGTGTGGTTGAACACAGCTGTGCATCCGCAGGATGGGGGATTTGCTTCTGCCTCCCCATGGCCAACCAGGCAACCTCCATCTGCCCAGATCTCAATAGTGGGCATGAGTGTCAGCCACCTTCCTCTGCCTCCCTAAGATCCCACTGGAGGAGAAGAGAAGCTCAGGGTGGGGAAACCTGGAGAGTGAAGAAGAAGACATCAGTACTACCACACTTAACATCTGCGCTAACAAACCATGGCTCTGTGCTTTGCAAACATCAGCATATTGAAACAGCTCAGGTTAGGAGGTTTTGGTTATATGGTTTGCCTATCCTGTCAGCAGGGGACTAGTGACATACTGTTTGTTCTTATAGACTGTTGGGACTCACACTTGGTTTCTATTTGATTTTAAAATATATAAAATACACTTCCTTTTCCTTGTTTATTGGTACATTTTAGGTATATAATACAGTTACATTCATCATTGGGATCTTGTACATTTACATGACGTATCTTGGTTCTTATTTTTTCCCCATTCCCCTTCTATTGGGTTTTAATTAGATGTGTTTTATGTAAAAAGTAACATCTTTAGAAAAAGTAATGCTTTTAAAATGCCTGCTGTGCTGTTCTTTGTTTAGATAATTTTGCATATGTTTTAAAATATCAATTAACAAGGCAGGTGTTAGAAGGAAAAACAGGGAAAGGTAAACAGTCTTTGGGTCACAGAAAGCACCCCTATGGTGGGAAGAAAGCAGGTATAACTCATTGATTTAAATTTGTTCAACACCAAATATTCTCTCTAACGCCTGGCTCAAGGACACTAGCTTTGAAAAATAAACTTCACTCTTTAGTTTTGCTTAATTAATGACACTTTGCCTGAAATCCCAACTTAAAAAAGCAACTCTTGATCATTATAGCCATGACTAACACCTTACTGATGTAATTCAAGTAAAAAGTAAATGCACTTCATTTAGCTTCTGCAGCCATACTGCAGTCAATGTAGAATTTCTGTTAAGATTTTACCAATATAAAAATGGCTGTAACAATAGGAAGTAAGTTTATGTGTCTGATGTTCAGGAAACTGGAGGTGTAGATGGGACGATGCTTTGTGGGTCTTTACCTAAGGCAGAGAAAATCGCTGCTGCCCAGAACATTTCTCCCATGAGTGCAGGGATGAACAGTAAGCCGCCCATGCGCTTCCCGTAGATCTGCTGGAACGGGTCTAACATGGTCACGTAGCCCTTGGAGCGCATAGGTTTGGCAAAGAATAGACCTCCTAAAAAAATTAAACACATGTTTATGCAAAATTAAAAATGTAGAATGTAATAGTCTTTGGCAACCTTTTACTGTGTTATAATTTCTCCAGGAAAATGAATTTTGTAGAATACTTATCTGTATGGAGGAGCTGATCGGTAATGTACTGCCGCTATAGCACCAAGAAAAATTTTAGCAAGCTAATATAAATTCCTTAGTATATTTAATATTACACGTGCCTGGTGGACAATTAGTTGGCATAAGCAGTGGTGGCAAACCTATGGCATGTGTGCCGCAGCAGACTGTGTGTCACCGAAAGCTCTGAAAGTTTTGCCATCACTGGCACAGTGAAACATGTGAACTGGAAACAGTGGGCCAGGTCAGTGCTTACCAAGAGGCCTTGAGCACAACATTTAGACATTTTGAGTAAGTACCAGATCCAATACAAGTATTTTGAGTGAAAAAGGAAGAATTCTCTGTTAAATTGTTATGTAATATTTTTGACTATTAATTAGTTTGATTTACAAGAAATTTAGTACAATCAAGTTGATTCATTTTAATGATACACCCAGACTATTTTGAAGGAAATAAAACATGATTATGTTAAGAAATTCATAGTCATAGGATCAAAGGACTTTTTTTACATATTCCATAATCACTCCTGATTACCTAAGCGCTAGTGTTCTGCTACATACCAATTTCTGGTAATAGCCACTTAGAAATTTATGGTGACATTTTCCCACAATAGTTACTAATGTTGTTTAACTTGTTATTCCACTTGTTATTCATACTCCTGCCCTTCCTGCTGTAGGGAATGAGTCACTGAGATTTGAACCTCCACTTACCTACAATCAGACTAAGAGAATATCCGATGGGTGCCTGAGCCCATGCGAGGCCATGGCCTGGCACGTACACTGCTTCCGCTGTGCCGTTGATGTACCCTCCTCCGACCCAGGTAGCTAAAACAAAAGGGAAGATGAGGGTGAGCCACTGTCCTACTGGTCACTCCCAGGTCACTGCCCAGCACTTACTGGTCACTGCCCAGCACAGTGGCCGCTGGCCTCGGGTGGCCAGGAGCACCTGCAGTACAGCTGTCCAGGCTAGGAGTCTTGTGAGGGGCTCCAGGAAGAAATGGAAGCAGCCAAATGAAGAAGGTGAAAGAGCTGAGGAGAGAAAGTGTGGGCTAAAGAAGTTTGGGCCCAGAATGACGGATACATCAGATTTAAAGGATGGTTTGTATTGATCACAAACTCATATGAAAGCATTCTGAATGTATTGAATTAAATAAGTTGTATTGATGACCTCAATTTAATTATTTCTTATGTTTTTAAAAGGTGTTTGTAGAAAATTTAACATTACATTTGGGGCTCACCTTCTGCATCTACTAGACAGTGCTGTCCTGGTGTTGTCTAAATGCGTTTAGCCATCAGCACTTTATGGTGAAGTTATGGATACCGTGCAGTCTGAGACTGTACAGGGTGGGACTTCTATGACCCTTTCTCCAACCCCCATAGTGTAGGGCCAAGGGTCTTTATTTCAAGACCCCGCCACTTGAAGTGAATTGATAATTTTATACTGATCGTGACTATTGTCCTCAAGGAGTGGCATGTATGTATGTGTGCGTACAAGTGTGTGTGAGTGGGCACAGGTGCATGTGTGTGTGCCTGTAAATGTGTGCAAGTGGATGTAGTTGTGTGTGCTTTCCCCTAATATTTTCTCAAATACTCTGGCAACATTGGCTATGGTAAGTCTGACCATGATCACAGTGAGCTGTACTCAGCTCCTACATTGTCAGAAGAATGAAAGAAGGTGAGATAGGGCCCCACTCCTACGTGTTCCACAGTGGGTCAGAGTGACCTCTCATCTCTCCTCTGGCATCTGGCAGACACTCAGGGCTGTGGCTCTGGCAGTGCTGACAGCACATCACTCACAGTTCTTTAACCTGGGTCTTCTCATGTGGTGTTTGATATTTCACAGGGAATATTAAGAAATACATGCTCTTCAGATAAATAAAATTTCTGTAGCATAATAGCTAAGGAAGGAGGTCAAGGAACCAAAGAAAGCCCATTTGTGCCACTGTTGTCTCTCAGAAAGCAACCTACTATTTGATACTCATTGAAAAACTGAGTTAAATGGAACTCTATATCTGTAGCATGATATATACATATAAAATACATATTATTCTTTAAGAATATAGTAAAATATTAAAAATGACGTCTATGTAGGATTTGTGCAAAGGTCTGATGGTCAGAGGCTGGTAAGAAGCCTATTAGAGGTGAGGAGAGATTCTGGGGTGTATGATCCCATTGGGAACACAACTTAATACTTAATTCCCACAGAACATGAAGAAAAGATGTAATACGCATAGAGCTCTGTCCAAGGTGATAGTTTTTGTTGTGCTCATGCCAGAATTTATCTGGCTTCAAAGTCAAGACGAGACTGTGTTGTGGGGCTAATGTCACTTGTTAAATGGTCAACTTGAAAAGTTTTCTGCATAGTGACTTTAAGTCACTTAGTGAGAGTTTATACACTAACCACTGACATGGACAAATAACACACATAGCAGCAGCCACTCCCACCTTCAAGGTGGCTTTCGGACTGAGTGTTAACACATAACAGATGCCGTCACTTACTTCACTGAAATCCTTGCTGGGATTTTAGATCCCCCTACACTGGGTGTGTAAGAAACACCAGAAGAAGAGGCTTGGTGCAGGAAAGGGCCTGGGCCCCCTCTCCTGCTGGGAGGCAGGGCTGCTGCCTGGGAAGAGCAATTGCTCCAACTGGCTGACAAGCACATTGCTCATTAGTGATCATTCTTCACTGCGTAGCTCTCCTGTTCCTTGTCCAAAAAGAACCCTGGCGCCTGAAGGATTGATTACACCCACTAAAATACAGACACGAAGGCTGGGTTACCTACTGTGATCAAACAAAGTGCTCCAATTCATACTGCTTGGGTCTTTTCTGTGCCACATCTGTCCCCCTTGTTTGTGTGTTTGCGTTAAATCATGGGTGAGAACACAAACTCTTTCAAACTCTATGCATTTTAAAGGAATAAACATTTTCAACCTCTGTTCTGTAGGAAATATGTACAAGTGAATGAATCTAACAAGACTCAAATAATGTGATTCAGATCTTAAATGAATGATGGTTTTGACTGAGGTTCTTACGAAAGAGAAAAGCTTTCAGAAGTGAGCTAGACCATGACACTTTGTAAGAAACAGCATCACTCAAATATTTTCTATATACTTTAGTAGTGTACTAGACTGAAAGAAAGCCCTCTACATAATAAAATAACAGATTTCAAAATATTATCTTATGATAATATTAAGTAGAATGTTAAGTAGAATAATAGAACATTATAATAATTTGCAAGGAATAAAATACTTTGACGGGCAGCAGCCCATTTATTCCTGTGGACAGTTGTTACAAGGAAAGCACCCCTGTAAACAAACACAGTGAAGCCGGCAGAGGGCTGCCTGCTCCAGCACCGGGCCAGGGTGTGGCTGCCAGGAGCCCTGGGTCCATCCTGGCTCTGGTCCTTTTTAATCTCACAGCCCTGGCTCTTCACTTAACCCCACAGCCCTTCCACAGTGTTCTTATAAAGACCGCATGAGTCTCCATGCTGTTGGTGAGGCATTAAACAAACTGCGCCTGCCTGAAAGGTTAACTCCACAGTCCACATTAACACTGTAGATCACAGATGGACCAATTTATGACTTCCAGAACATGGACACTGTCTTTATAGACTGGTCTGGTAAAGTTTTTGAAACACAGGGTAAATCACTTGTAAATGGCATAATTTGAATATGGTATCCAGTGGGATATTTTTCTAATGCTCCTGATAATGTGCACTATATTGCTAATGTCTAAATACCTACTAAGACCTGAACGAAATGTGTCACTTGTAAGTGTAATAAATAACATGAAAGATGTTGTTTTTCAGAAATATTTCCAATGACCAAGACAAATATAAAAAAACCCACTCCTTACCACAACCCCTCACTAAGGGGAAGAAAGCAGACCTGGGCTTCCTAGTGCAGAGGGGTGGGGCAGGGTGTGCAGATGGACACACCCGCCTTTCCCCTTGGCCAAGGTTCCTGCAAATATCAGCTTTAGTGCTGTGCAGTGGCTTCTGGTAAGGAAATCAGGCATCAAGTGGAAAAAGTAAGTTTCTAAACAGGGAATCGATCCATTTGGAACTGCATTGCCCCCAGATATATTGATTCAGGATAAAAGCGATCACTGGTTCATATTCATTGACATCAGTCCCTTAGGGGAGCCCAGGCACAACTTTCTGCACATGTGAGGGACTCATGGCAAAGTCCTCCCTTCAGCCAACAGGTGCAGGGTGTGCAGCGCCAGGTCCCTCCACTCCCCTCCGCCTCGTGCCCTCCACTCTCACCTGGGATGCAGTCCGGAGAGCCCACCCTTGCCTCCCTGAGGGCTGCTCCAGTGACTGTGAAATCATTTCATTCAAGTCCTCCCGCACTGAAAACATTTCATTGTCACATCTAAATGTAAAATTATCAAAAGTGAACCTGAAGACTGCCTAAGGGACAAAGAGCAAGGCCTGTCACTCACTCAGAGAAGGCAGCAAGGTGGACCCAGCAAGGGCGAGGACCTACCTGTCATGGTGAAGCCCCCCACCAGCAGGCCTATGTCGCGGCCTCCCACAATGATGGCCTCGCTGCGCTCCTCTGCGCTGCCGCTGTTCTTGGTTCTCCACGCAGCCCAGATGCCCACCAGCAGGATGACCAGGTAGAACACCACGATGGCGACCAGCCCTTCCACGTGGAAAGCCATTGTGGCCTGAGCCGGAGGACTCCGGCAGAGACTACTTCATCCAGATCCCAGAGAGCAAAGGACCGCAGCAGCAGCCGCCGCCAGCCCAGCTGCAGGGCGGGGGTTAACACGCTGCAATGATCCAGAGAAACCCAGACTGGGGGAGAGAAGGGGGCGCTGAGCTCAGAGAGGCAGGTGGGGCCGGGCGTCGACTTCTGCTCAGCAATTCAAAGCCGCTCTGGGTTTTCAAGTTAACAGAAGGGGAGAGGGGTTGCTGCTTAACAAGCAAATCATAACCATTTCTCTTTCCACTTAAAATTAACTTTGTATCAGAACCAGTAACTCTGTCCAGAAACATTTACAAAGAACATGGTTGTGTTGCTTTTTGAAACTAAGTTCTTACTCTGAAAGGCAGCGATGTATTTTAGAGGGATTCTCCCAGAGCTGCAAGCACTTGTCCTGTTCCCCCCCACCGGTCCTGTCAAAGGATTTCAGGAACTGGTTCCAAAAGTGATCTGCTATGGCTGGAACGAAAACTTCAGGAAAATCCATTTAGAACACATTGGCTACCTATTTTTAAGGAGTTCCTGCGCGCAGAGACTGGCCAGAGAGTGGCAGTGCTATGCGGCGGGTGGGGTGCTCTCTTTGGGCTCCCCAGGTGTGCCCTGAGAAGAGGCTTCACCGCGCGGGGCATGAAACTCCAGCCTGAGAGGAAGGACGGAAGTTCTGAACGCCCCCCCCCCCCTTCAGGAATTCTTGCTTTCTTTCATTTTATTCCCCTCGTGGCCATGGCTGCTTCATGCACCTCAACCCTCCAACCCGCACAGGGAAGCTGGGGGAAAACTCAGACGCGCGGCAGGTGGGTGCGACTGGATCCCTCCGCCCCCTGAGCCCCAGTCGAGTCCCCGGGCACCTGCTCCTACCTGCGAGGGGGCCGCGGGCACTGGGCGGGCTGGGCTGCGGGGTGCGCGGGTGGGTCGGGTGCACCGTGGGTCAGGAGGGGCTGAGGGGGACGCAGGGTATCAGCTGGTCCGGGGCTCGAGTGTGGGTTGCAAGGGAGCTGGAGGGTGAGAAAGCCAGTCAGGGACCAGGGCTGCCGAGGTCTGCAGCTGTGGGTGTCGTGGCTCGTGGCGGCGACCGATCGGATCTGATCGATCGCTATCAGGAACCCCTTTATAGCGCGGCCGCTGGGCGATCTTCAGGGCGGAGGCGACGTCAGCAGACCTCGGCGCTGGGCGGAGACGGGTGCTGTGAGCGAGGGCCAGTGGGTGCGATGGCAGAGGGAAGTGCAGCCCAGGTGCCCCAGCCTGACCCCCTTCTCTATGCTGGGTGAAAGCAGAGTGGGGAGCCGAGGGGTCCAGGAGCAGCTGGAGGTCAGGGCCAGGAATTCAGGTCCTTCCCAGATGGGGGTGAAGCAAAATTCAAAGGAAAACAAGTTTTTCAGCAATTCTCCCTCGGATTCCTCCCTCCCCGTGGTGGTTGTTCTTTGCTCTGTTACAGATAAGACTAGCAACTGTGCTCCTGTAAACAAGGTCCTATGTCATCCCGTTTCCCCCAGTTCTTCTGATATATACCTACTATCTGTGTTATTCAGTGGGACTCTTCACATGGGCATTGCTGCAAACACCTTCTGTGGAGGTGTGTGCACGCTTAGGTGTGTGCATAGACACCTGTAGTTTCCCATGTGTGTGCCAGTGCACACCTTTGTATGGAGAAACGCTGTGGGAGAAAGAGAATCCTGTGAAAGAGCCACAAGCCCCAAAGCCAGGACCCCCTGCACCTTTCCATCCTTCCATATTCCACACGCCAGTCTATCAAAGCCAGGCCCACACTCAGAGCTTCCTGGCTGCAGTCCTGCTCTGGGCAGGGTTTGGAACACCTCCCATCTCACGGCACTGGGTTTGGGAAAGATCTTTCCAATGCATGTCCTTGCCCCTTCCCCTGTTCTCTGTGTAAACAGCAGATGCACCCAGTGTCATGTCAGGAATGGAAGCCCAGGGTCTTCAGCAGAGGTGTAAGATCGGCCAAGGCCTGGGTGGACACTGCCCAGCTGGGCTTTGTGATTAGCTAATGTCAGGATCTGTGTGCAGGAAGGGTGACAATGTAAGTGATTTTTAGGGACCTGACAGATGGGAGATTGAGATGGAATTTCTTGTAATCACTCAAGTGTTTTAAAAGAAAGTCATTTCATTCATTTTTTGTTTTTTTTGTTTCTGTTTTTGTTTTTTTACAGTTATAACTCAATTTCTGCTTCTGGACTTTGGCCACAACTTAGTTTATAGTTTTCCTCCCCGAGGATACATAAAGGTGGTGACGACAGAATTATGGTGGTAGCAGGGCGGGTGTGGGCCATGGCAGGGTCTGAAATAGTACCCAGGGCTGAGGTCAGGAAGCAAGTGTGACTCAGGCCCAGGGAGGAAGCAGAGCCATGGCCATTCTCAGAGTGCATCCCTGGCCAGGTATAGCAGCCCGGAGTGGGGCCAGGCACATACTCTGGGCAGGGGAGCAGGGATCTAATTCACTTTGAGAAGGAGGGTGTGCCAGACTAGACTCAGTGCTAGGTCTGAGCCAGGACAGTGACCTTGACAATGGCCACAAACATCCGGCCCAGCAGAGCAGCTGTCCTTCATGGCAAGAGGCACCATTGTCATGACAGCTCTGATGTATTGAGTCTGGTCCTGGGGAGACGCTTCCTCATCTGTGAGCCCCGCACCCTGTGTCTGGTCTGAGGCTGACACTGCCTGTGCCTCGTGTCCCAGACACACCCTGACACCCACTCCCCTTTTGTCTTCCCCTCCGTCTCCTCTGCTGAGGATGTGATTAGACTTGGAGCTAGGGAAATAAATGCCAGTGCTAAATGGACTCCAGCTTTAGGAGACAGAAAGCAGTTTTGCATTTACAGATCATTTATCTATTGACTACACATATGCTAGTGTTCCAAACACTGTCCTTAGCACTGAAGATACACATAGAAAATGATGGATCACCCTTGCCCTTGGCAGGTCCCCATCCACGGATGGAAAGAAGAAATAAATGAGCAGAAGCTGCACTTGAGTGTGTTGTTGTCAACACTGGGCAAGAAGATCTGAACCCATACCTGCAGATCCCAGGGAAGTACTGGGAAACCATCTCAATGAGACTGAGATATTCTTCCCTCAGGGAGGAAAGCTTATTCATTCAACAAACATGGGGAACTCCTCCCGTGTGCTGGGAATCATGCAAGGAACTGGGCAAGTACAGGTGACTGAGACCCAAGGATCCCTCTCCTCGCACTGAATATCTGTGACCTTGCTACTCGAAGTCAGGTCCACAGAACAGTAGCATCACCAGCAGTCCCCCGAAACACTGGTGTTCTGAGCAGGTCATAACTTGGGGTGAACATTTTCAAAATGACTCAAGTATATCTCAAATAGACACTGAGGTTTGGGGGCCCATCTTTCTTTAGGTCACCACTTTCCATGGTGTCCTATTCCCCACACAATTTTAACTTGAACCCTTCATAAATTTTAATTGGTTACATTGTGTTTCACTTGCAATTGGCCAGTCATTTCCAAACTGAGGTGATCATGAGAATCGAAGCATGCTTTGGAAATTGAGAGCCTGAGGCCCCACAGTGTTTTACAGAATCCTGAAGCTGAACATCTCCAGCAAAGCTGCTGGACCCGGTTTCTCCCAGGCCCTTCCCTGTGAATCTCAGTGATGGGCTGGTTGGGGAGGTCCAGCTGCATTTCAGGTTGGAAAGAACTTCGAAGTCAAATCACACAAAGTGAGCTCATTTTGAGCAGGTGAGAGCTCTATCAAATCTTTGTCTTCCTTGAACTTTAATTTTCTTTTAAAGGTCCAAGGTGAGTGTCAACCTCAGGAATGAGAAGGTTGAGTGGCCTTGTACACAGATGTCCCTACTTACAGTGGTTTGACTTGTGATTTGGAAACTTAGAAGCTTTGAAAATTTTATCTGGGTCTTTTCCCTGGATAGGGACAGGTGGTGTGATGCTCTCTCTCCTTGTTGGCCAGGGGCTGGAGTTAAGGCTGCCAACCACTGCATGATCGCCAGGGCAAACCCTCAGCGCCCTCCAGTGCTTGGCACAGACATCAATACCATGCATAAAACAGGCTTTCACAGGTTTTGCAAAGATGGCTTGGCCCTGCTGTAGGCGGCTGTGGGTGTTCTGGCCACGTTAAGGGGGGCAGGGGCATTTTTGACCTGATGTCCCATGGACACTGGGTTGATTGGGACCCAACACTATCATGAGTCCAGGAGCACTGTGTGGGGTGTGAAAGTGCTTAGTGCAGCGTATGCTCTCCCCATGGGTGCTCGATCATGTACCATAAGCAGCTGCTGCTGTGGTGGCCTCAGTAATTGCCACCTGGCTTCCTCACTGGAGCTGCTGAAGTCCCAGCTGCAGTAGCTGGTGCACAGGACAAAAGTCCCTGCTTGCAGAGAAATATCTTGCTAAAAACCACCTCACGTGCAGCAGGGGCTCTGTGCTGTGTGCCCCATATCATGGCTTTGCTCACCAAGCCCAGTTTGTGTTTGCTGGCCAGGACTGGGAGGAGCACGAGGACTCACTCACAGGAGATGCAGGTCCAAAGGATAGCAAGCGCCCTCAGCCTCTACTGCCTGTGCTTCACGTAGTCCCGGCTAGCAGTTCTCAGCTCCTGGTGAGGGTGTCCTCTCCATCTGTTCCCTCCTGCGACACTTGTGCTTTTCATTCCTTCAGAAACCTCACAGGTGTGGATGGCCCAGACCCTTCCCGAAACACTGTGGCTAATGAGTTCCTCTCCAGCTGCCGTCCCACTGCACGTGCCAGGAAGATGCTGGTCTGCTTCTTCCTCACTGTGAACTCCAGAAAGAGGAAACCAATTCAGTTCACCTTTCTGGCTCAGCACTCAGTACTGCATTGGAATACAGTGCTTTAAACTTGACCATCTAAACTGCTCTACTTTTCTAGAAGCATTGACACTTGAAAGTATAAGGATAAGAGAAGTAATAAAAATCTTAGTTTAAAAAAACCCTGATATTTAAGAGTTAAAATTGGCCATTCTGGAGATTCCTCAAAAAATGAAGCTGGAAATTCCATTTGACCTAGCTATCCCTTTTCTAGGTATCTTCCCAAAAGAGTTAAAGACACAGATTATAGTGATCCATGTATACCCATGTTTATAGCAGCATGACTCATAATAGCTAAATCTTGGAAGCAGCCTAATGTCCATCAACAGATGAATGGATAAAGAATATGTGGTATTTACAGGCAATGGACTACTACTCTACCATGAAGAAAGATAGAATTGAGTCATTTGTAGGAAAATAGATGCCTCTTGAAACCCAAAATATAAATGAAGAGCAAAATAAAAGATAGCTAATAGGAAAAGTTGGTTCTTCTAGTGGTTAGGTACATGCATACATTGTGGGTTTAACAGTTAGTGGCCCATATAAAACAGAATTCTCTTGGTTCTCAAAGAAATGACTTTTTTTTTTTTTTTAAGAAATGACTTTTAACTCTGTGTAAACTGGACTTTTATGCTAACTTTGACATTTCTCCACCCAAACTATGCATAATTTTCATTTCAAATCTCTAGATCATACATTCCTTTTTGTAATTATTGTAATAAAAAATTGAAGGGAAAAAAGGAATGCTGTAAATGGAAAGCAAATATGGCAAGAAAGACGGAGAAGA